GAGGGAGTCACTGAAGGGCGGTTTCCGCAGCTGCAGGGCGATTGCTGCATCAGGGTTGTCACGTGGTGCATGTCAGGCCCACCTGTGAGGCCCCCCCACAACAGGGAGCTCCAGCAGTGCACACCCCCATGTCTCCGTCAGCCAGGGCACTTGGGAAGCAGGCATCAGGAGCCTCGCTGTCAGTGACGCTCCCCGTGGATAGGTGGGCCCTTTCTGGGGGCCGCCGCCTCTCCTAGAAACCTCATGGCATTCACAGGAGAGAACCATTCCCATCTATCACAAGGGAGCTGGGCCTCAGAAAGACCAGCAAGGTCACCCAAGGTCACCAACAAGCCTGGGCCTCCTGGTCCCTGCTCCCTCACTGATTCTCCTCTGCCCACTACTGGTGTCTCTGCCACAGTGACCAGGGCAGCCAAGAGAAGCAGGGCTCTCCTCGTGGTCAGAGTTCAAGACCCAGGACGGTTAGCTCCCATCTCGGGGTGCCACCTCCAGGTCTGCCTGTGCTCTCTTAGGTTCCCTGAGAAATCCTGACGTCCTGGTCTGTGTTTGTGAGGTCCACAGGGTCATAATGAGTGAGCCTCGGAGGCCGGTGGGGCTTGTTGAAATGCAGATTCCAGGGCCCTGATTGCTGAATCTCACAGATGTCTCCTGTGGGTGGCTTTGCAAGGTGTCCAGACGAACCCAGGGCAGATGAAGAGGGGGCACTGAGAACCTGGCCCTGCTGGGGGCCCTTCCCCAGGCGACTGTGCCATCTGGGGCAGTGGGGTGGCCCTGAGAACTACTGTGGGGCCTGGCGACCCTGGCAAAGTGGCTCTCAGGAAATGATCCTCAGAACCACCATGTTCAGCCACAGAACAGGGGACGCTGCTGTTTCTGTGCGTCTCGCCCAGCATGCCATGTACAGAGGCAGTTCCTTCTGAGGTGCTCACAGGCTTTGGTTTCTCATTGCTTAATTACTTTGTCCATAAACCAGACAGATTGTGATAGAAATATCACATTTTCGCCTGAGTTGCCGAGAGACTTTCCTGCACTGTGCTCCTTAGGATTTCTAAGGACGCCCTTCCACACCTGTCTGGAGCATTGATGTCCCTGGGACAGGTTGGGGCAGGACCAAGGGAGGTAGAGCTCGTCCCTTATTATTGTAACGCCAGCCTTCCTGCCACACATGCACTGGTAACAGGGTCCCTGATGAATTGGCTCAACTGAAATTCATTATCCCAGTGGATTCCTGTTTGTCTCTGTATCATTCTCACTTGGGACTTGGAGTGAGTGAGAAGGAAGACAGGCTGCAGCACTGATGCTTCGCTAAGTTTCACAGAGTGCTGGCTGCCAACAGGCTTGGAGGACAGTGGGTGGCGTGGACGCTTAGCTCAGCGTAGGACGCTTGCGTGGCACATGTGAGGACCTGGGTTTCATCTCCAGCACAGAAAAGGAAAAACAAACAAAACTTTTAAGACTAATGAAAGTTTGTTGTAAAAAAAATACAAGTTAGGAAAAAAAAACCTACTCAAGACCCGGGAGTCCCTCCACCCGATGTTTGAATTCTGTGTTTCCTGCTGTTGGTGCGTGGTGGCAGGCGGGGGTCTTTGTTAAGGAGCCTTTCTGGTGGCTGAGCACTTGTCGCTGGGCTTTCTTAAGCATGGAACAGGCACTGTACTGCGAGGGGTTCTGTGGCCAGGACAGTCCGACAGGGCCTTGGTGGGCTTTCCTTTGACATCAGATATCTTGGTCACCAGATCAGGTGGAGCATCTCCCTCTAATGGAGAACATTTCCCCCAGCATTTGGCCACTGGGACATCCCTAGGTGTCCCCACCCCCTGTCCTCGGGCTGGGTCCCCGTGGGCTCAGTGCACCCGTCACCTCTTTGTTTTCTCTGACTGCCGTCAAGCTTCTGACCCAAAGAGACAAGGAGGTCAGGACTTCACTCCTGATAAGGGTGGCGTATTATTTCGTGTTCTGTAATCTTAGAGTTGTTCAAGAGCTTGTGTTTGAATTTAAATGACGAAGCGTAACTGGAAGGCTGGGGATGGAGTTCAGTGGTAGTCACTGGCCTGGTATACATGAGGCCGTGGGTTCCATCTCCAGCACTGAAACCCCAAAGTGCATTGGAAGTCGTGCCACGCTGATGGAAGGACCAAGTACCTGGTCCTAAACTGCTCAGGAAAGCCCGTGCACCTTGAGGTGCAGCTCTGGGCTTCCCTGTGAGTCAAAGGGCTCAAAGCAGGCAGTCAGAGGTCATCTGCTGTGCCTTACGATGGAATCTAGTCCAGTGGTACTTAGACCAGAGTCTGGGGGCCACTTTCTTCATATTCCATGCCATTGACGGGGCATGGAATGGCCTCTTTTGAAAACCAGGGCTGCTTCTGTCACTTTGGGGCCTGGCTGACCGGGGACACATATGTGTGCAGACAGTGCATGCGCACACACACACATGCCCAGGTGTGTTCCTAAAGCACGTTTTGTGCAGCTGCACTTTGGACCTCAGAGTGAAGTAGGGCAGCCGGCCTCGTCCTCCACGTGATGGAGTCTCCAGGCCGGGCCATGCTTCCTTTGTCCTGGGACCCCCAATCCCTGTGGTGACCAGAAGTGTCCCCACAGGAGCAGGCAGAGAAAGCATCTGGTATGTAGGGCTTTCCCCAGGTCTTTGGTTGCTTCTCCTTGAGCCTCACACCAGCATCCCACTCTGAATGGGCCGAGACGGAGGCCAGGCAAGTTCTTGAAATAAGGGCATTTTAATGGAAGTTGAGGGCTTTGGCGGGGAACATTAAGTCAAGCATTTATTTTATTAATCTAGTTGCCACAAAGAAAACATACTCTATTCAAGTGAGGGTAAATTTGCAACTAAAAGCTTGCCACACCATGTTCCAATATTTATATAATCATATGTCTTTGTTTAATGGAGCCCCGCTTCATTTATAATGCATATTTAATATTTGTTGTGATAAATTTAATCTGGTGGTACATGCTTACAAATCAGCAGTGCATTAATGAAGTGAGCTCGTTTAATTCACCCTTTATCCTCTTTGTTCTACTATTAAGATTCATTTTTAAAATTGTATTTCAGGGCTTTTTTGGTTTGTTTTGTAAGAGGGATTGAACCCGGAGGTGCTCTACCACTGAACTATGTCCCCAACCCTTTTGAAAACTTAGAGTCAGGTCTTGCTAAGTTGCCCAGGTTGGCCTCAAACTTGAGATCCTCCTGCCTCAGTCTCCTGAGTAGCCGGAATTGCCGGCCACTTGGCCTAGCTGTGACTTAACGTTTATGTGAAATGGCGTAAAAATCTGAATCAGAATCCCAAAGGTCACGATGAATGTCGTCTCCTTACTCTTGTTCCCCAGCCACCAGTTCCCTCGCCTAAGTCGGCAACTGTTTGTGATTTTACCAGTGTCTTCTCAGGCGTGTGTGTTGTGCGCACACACGCCGCACACTATAACGCTGACTAGACTGTGTGGGTCTTGCTCTCGCCACCTAGTGGAGCCTGGAGATTGTGGGGCTGACTCCACCTCAGTATGCCGAGGTCCTTACAGACCTCTGCCCCCACCACCTGCTGGACTCAGCTGTCTTGTTTTCTTAATTAGTATTCCATCTCAGGAATACATCCAGGTTCACTTGACCATTGTTGAGGTTTTTAACAGCAGAGTCACAGGGGGACTTTCTGAGCAGCTGGACACTTGGTACATGCATTCGGAGAGTCCTTGTCATTACCTTCTGTCTCCCTGCCCGTCATCTGAGGCCGCCTTCTCGTTTCCCTGAGAGCAGTTGGTGACCGATGTTTCGTTACCATCCCCTGAGTTCAGGCCTGCGCTGTCATGGTCCTCACTTCGTGGTTCCCAGCTGATCCCTGGGCGTGTTCCGGTGGTGTGCGGCCACCATGGAGTGGGTGTTGAAGAGCACAATTGAACTGCTCCCCCCCACCGTCAGCCCCCACCCTGTCTACTTCCATGGGGGGAGTGTGGACTGGACATCTTGAAGGCAGTGCTGGGACAAGTCCACCTCCCAGGCATCCCGTCTCTCCAGCTTCCTTACAGACCTCTGCCCACCCACCACCTGCTGGTCTCTGTGCCCCACAGCCCGTGCCTCTGCTGTTGAGCTCATCCCTGCCAGCTCAGTGACCTTGAGAGTCACTAGATGCCCCTGGCAGCCTATTGTCTTCTCCATCGGCTCCTCCCACAAGCAGGGCCTCCCTTTGATGGGCGTCCTAGCCCTCAGCTCTGGGGGACAGTGGCAGTGGTGTGCGTGCCCTCCCACATCCCGTAGACCATGGGTGCTGGCCTGCCTGGCCAAGCCGGCCTGGCCTTTCTCCATCCTTCTCCTAAGGGGACTGCGGGCCAGGCCTGCAGGGTACCACCACCCCTTCTGAGCACATCTGGTTGAAAGGGATGGCTTTTCTTGCCCTTGAGGCATTTTGTGGAGGGCTTGAGAACTTTTGGACAGTGCAGGGTGAGCAGATTCCAACATTAGGGAAAAGTTTGGAGAGGGCATCCCACTGAAAGAGATGGCCTGCATCCACTGCTGCCTCCCCGGCTCTGAGTGGCCAAGGGAGCCGCCACGTGGGTGCGACTGTGGGATCCTGCTTACCAGGGGTCATGGCCAGTGGAGGATCATCTGCACTGGGCAGGCCAGGGGACCCCCCCAGTGGGGTCATCTCTACTGGGCAGGTCAGGAGAGCTACCCGAGTGAGCTTCCTGGGTGGGGAGCAAGCACCACTTCAAAGAGCCCCCCAGGTCCAGGTCCCCTCCTCTCCCTGGCCAAGACTCTGGCACCCAGCAGAGTGCTCCAGACCTGAGTGCCGCCTGTCTGCAGCATCTAGGTTTCCACGCTCGTCATCCTCGAAGCTTTTTGGGTGGGATCTCAGAAAAGCGACTGTTTAGCAGAAAGACTGCAAACCACAGCTTGCAGGCCCCCAGAGCCGCTGGCTCTGGTGGAAGCTGGCATGCCGGGCACCGATGCGCGCTGGAGGGGGCCGCAGCCTGATCTTTGTCTCTGTCTTCTCTTGCAGATGCCTTCGTGAACAGCCAGGAGTGGACGTTGAGTCGATCGGTGCCAGAGCTCAAAGTGGTGAGTGGCTCTTTCTGGCTTCAGTGGTTTATTTCCCAGGAGACCACGGGTGTGGGGGCCCTCGAGAGGTGGGGCGTGAGCCCACCCAAGCTGTGCATGGGACGGGGACCAGTTGTGTAACCACTGTCCCCAGCACAGCGCCATTCCTACAGAGGACCTTCCAGAGACACCTGTCCAGAGGGTGACACAGGGTGGCAATGGTGTTTCCAGGAGTTTTTAAGACGATATGCCCTCCGTAAGTCCTGCCCAGCACTGCCTGGAAGAACCTTCTGTGTCTGCCCTGACTGACAAGCAGCCTCTGCCCTGGGCGGCCTTTCAGGGACTGTACTGTGGCTCAGGAGCCATGTGTGATGGCCTGGTTTAGGCTTGGTTCATTTTGGTTGAAGCAGCTGCGTGGCTGTGGTGGCCGTGCGTCGGGTGGAAGTGGCTTCCTTTGGCCCTGTCCTGGTGATTGAGGGCGGTACAGGTTCTTACCAGGCCACCATGGGGGATGCTTGCTACCCAAGAAGCCTGTGGTTTCTGCAGCTCAGTGCTCAGGCTTGGAGACGGCGTCACTGAAGGGCAGGCAGGGCAGCTCCTTCCCCAAGGGTAGCTCCTCAGGCTAGTGTGGGCTCACTGCCAGGTGGCCACCTCTCACGGATAGGCCAATGTCAGAGGTCTGAGGAAGGGTCTAGCCCCGGAGCTGTGCATGGATGTGGGGACCCTGGCAGGGCTGCCAGCTCTTTGTCACGGGCCCTGGAAAAGAAGCCCCCTTTGTTCTGTGTGGCCACTCTGTGTATCCACAGTGCCGCATTGTTTCCTGCCCCTGTGCAGCACCCCAGGACAGGTGGCCTTGAGGTCAGCGCCCGAGGAGCCCTGCTTCTCAAGCACAGCCACGAGGTGACGTAACAGCAGCCTCCAGTGAACTGTCAGTGCCAGTTTTGCAGTGATTCTGAGACCCCGTCAGAGAACACAGCTCAGTGTCTGCCGACTCTTCAAGAGCGGTGGTTCCATGCCTCAGGCTTTCTGGGGTTGTGTGGTGGTCAGATCGTCCGTGACCAGTTGCCTTCGGTACAGTGGCTTGGTGCCAGGCGGTGCAGGCCCGTGCCCCTGCCCGCGTGTGTCAGGGACATCTGGCTGCAGAGGGCCTCAGTGGGCAGTCTGTCATTCCTGTTGTGTTTTCCTTGAACTCCCAATGAGGACCTTCGCTAAAGGCTCCATTTCCCTTTCAGCAAATCCACGTTTGGCAGGTGAGCGTGGGGCACTAGAGGAAGCAGTCAGAGGCTGCGTGCCTCTCTTCCTGCTGAGGCAGGGAGGCGGGAGCAGCGGGGTCAGGCCTGAGGGTCTGCACCGCTGCCTGCCTCGCTCTCAGTTCTGCCGCCTGCAGGGCCTTGCTGCTCCCCATGAAGCCTGCCAGTCCAGACGTGCTTGATCCCTCCTTCCCGTTGACATCAGGGGCCGGTGGCCACAGTGCCCCATGGACCTGCCAACGTCTCCTCCTTATTTTTTTCCATGGACAACTGTTAGTTTCCACTGGTGTTTCAAATTAAAATAATGCTCACAACCATCTGTGAGATGCCTGCAGCCGTGAGAACCAAGAGAGACCCCGTGCCCCGCACCCCAGAGTTGATGGGCGAGGCCTTCCGAGGGGTGCATGGGCCTTGCCGTGAGCACACGGAGAACGGGGTGTTGCCTGCAGAGAAGGCGCGGCCTGAACAGGGCCTGATCTCGGAGCATTTTCTTCCTCAGGGAAGACAAACTAATCTTAATTAAAAATTTAATTCTGTGGCATACTGGTTGGATTTTCTCAGTGTGAAGCTGACAAGCAGCAGGTGCCCTTGAGCAAAAGAATAATTAATAGGTAGATATTCTCAAATTACGGAGGCCCAAGGTAGAGGGAAGACTCGCGCTGACCGGAGGGGAGGCAGCCTGCGTGGAGTCTGCACACAGGGGGCCTGGCTCGGAGCCCGGTGTGCAGCGTCTCCTTGGCACTGGCCACCCGGGTCAGTGGGTCAGGCATGCTCTCAGCCGCCTAGCCAGTGCAGCCTTCCTCGGGATGGGCAGGGCTCTGTGCAGGGGTGGGGTGCAGGGTGCTGCAGAGGGTCCTCCCTGGAGGGCATTTGGAGCGGAGGGAGTCAGACCATGGGCTTGAGCATGGCATTCTGCAGAGGACCCGAGGGAGCCGAGGGCCTGCTGGCCTGGCGTGAGGAAGATGGCCTGGTCACTCTGCTGATGAGGCAGAACCCCATGAGCAAGCAACTTAGGGGCTGCAGGGTTTTCTCACAGCTCTGGAGGTGGGAAGTCCAGGACCAAGGGCAGGTCCTTAGATTCACCTTCGTAGGTGACGTCGTCTTGCTGTGTCTTCAAGGTGGGGGACAGGCAGGTTCCCTTTAATAAGGGCACCAGTCTCACCCGTGAGGCCCAGACCCCCCAACACCAGCACTTGGGGCTAGGATTTTAGAATCTGGTGTTTGGGGACCCAGGCTTCCAGACCACAGCAGCTTTCTCAGGGGTGCTCAGGCCTGAACGGCTGTCCACTAGTGAGTAGGGGCAGGATTTTGGGCAGTGATTATGTGGAAGGTTCTAGGTGTCTGGAGACACCTGCCACTGGGGTTGGGGAGCTGAAGCACGTAGGGGACAAAGCAGGGCACTGAGCGGCTGCAGGGCTGTGGGCATGGGGGAGAGGGCAGGGCAGGCCGTGGCTCTGGAGAGGCCACACTAACATCTGGAGAGGGGAGTGTGGGGACGGGTGTCGCAGGAGCTTCTGGGTGATGCCCACATTCGGACGGCCGATGTGCCTGCAGCCACTCACAGACCACACTCACACCAGCCTGGGTCCCTGCTGTCAGGTGTGGGCTTCACTGTCCACCTAGCCAGCCTCCCTGCCTCCCAGCAGGAGAGGAGAGGAAGGCGAGGCTCAGGCATGCAGCGTAGCCCACTGCGTCCATGGTAGGCAGGTGCACACGAAGACCTGGAGCTCAGGGGGCCGCACTCAGGTGGGAGCAGCTGGAGTCGGGGCCAGCTGGGGCGGGGGGTGGTGGAATCGGTGCTTGTAGGTGGAAGGCAGGTGCCCCTGGGGACTCTGGAGCCGGGCTGAGCCACAGATCTAAGGAGGGAGCCTGGAGGGCATGAGTGTGGGGCAGGGCGTTGAACAGAAGAGGTGGGTGACCTTGTGGTCACCATAGAGTCCAAGCCTGAGGTGGTGGGTGGAGGTGAGAAGGTCAGAAACCTCAGGGGAGCCAGGCAGAGCCTGGGCCTGGCTGGGGAGCTCCAGTGGGGCCTTGTGCAGGCTGGGTCGCGTGGGTTTGTCTCCTTCATGAACAGGAGGGTCTCGGGGGCAGAAGAACCAGGATGCTGATGAGCAGCTTCTGGGGGGACAGGTATCCCAGCTCAGGTGGGGGGCAGGAAGGAGGGCTACTTGCAGGGCCCACTGAGTCCAGGCTTACTGCGCCCACAGGGAGGCCGTTCTGAAGGGCTGCTGTGGCTGGACCTCCTGTCTCCCTGGGTGCTGCCTCCCCACCCAGTCATGCCCCATTGGCTGTCCTGCTCTCCTGTCCCTGTCCCCAAACTGCCCCAAGCTCATCCCCTTGGGATGGCATGTGCCAGACTGACCCATCCATGACACTACACGCCACCCTGTCCCCTCTCACCTGGGTCCCCCATGTGACTCTGCACACCACCCTGTCCCCTCTCACCTGGGTCCCCCATGTGACTGCACACCACCCTGTCCCCTCTCACCTGGGTCCCCCATGTGACTCTGCACACCACCCTGTCCCCTCTCACCTGGGTCCCCCATGTGACTGCACACCACTCTGTCCCCTCTCACCTGAAGCCCCCATGTGACTCTGCACACCACCCTGTCCCCTCTCACCCGGAGCCCCCTCCCCCGTGTGACTCTGCACACCACCCTGTCCCCTCTCACCCGGAGCCCCCTCCCCCTTGTGACTCTGCACACCACCCTGTCCCCTCTCACCCGGAGCCCCCTCCCCCCGTGTGACTCTGCACACCACCCTGTCCCCTCTCACCTGGACCACCCCCCCACCCCCCCCCCGTGTGATTCTGCACACCACCCTGTCCCCTTCACCTGGACCCCCTGGTGTGGTGAGGCCAGAGACCTAGTAGATGGCCCGGTGGGCAGTGCACATGTTCCTGAGGAAGACGGCACGCTTCCGGGAAGAGGCCTGGACCCAGCATGACTCCCTCCGTGCCGACACCCGACCCTTTGGAGGCCAAGTGGCCCTGAGCAGCCTGAGCAGAGCCCCGTCTCCAGCAGGACGCGTGCCCGTCGTCGGCTTGCTGCCACCACGGGTCGTGGTTGTTGGGGTCCCTGTGTTTCGACCTGTCGTAGAGGGCCCAGCAGAGCCATCTGATGTAATAACCCTCGTGGTTGTCGTGTCTTTGCTGCAGGGAATCGTGGGGAACTTGGCCAGCGGCAAGTCCGCCCTCGTGCACCGGTACCTGACCGGCACATACGTCCAGGAGGAGTCTCCGGAAGGTATGCCGTTGGGCGGGTGGTGAGTTACAGGCTTTAGGGAGTTTAGGCTTTTGATGTTTTTCTTTAGCGTATTCTAAATCATTGCTTTGACCTATCACACGCCAAGAAACACCACGCGGTAAAGATCCTCCTCCCGTAGGGATTGAGGGCCGGTTACGCTCACTCTGGCGTTGGGAGCACTGGAGTAGAACCGTGAGAAGCTGCTGAATGTGTTTCCTGTCCTTGGAGGCGCTAGTCCAGTGCTCCTTCTTTAAATACGGGCTGGACGTGGTCCGCTCTGGGGGTTGAGTCCATGCCGACTCTGACCTAGTGCTGCTCAGCCTCACTGCCAGCTTCTCTAGATGAGTCCTCCAGGCCCCCCCCCCTACCCCGCGCTGGAGCAGACGTCTCCCCGCATAGTGCTGACAGACAGACGCCTACGGCCATTGCCCACTGAGGGAGGCATTCCTCCTGCCATTAGACGTTTCCTTCTTCTGTTAACATGTCCACGTATTATCCTTTGCTTTAAATGACAATGACAAAGGCAGGAGCCCTTTAGCGCCCCGTCAGGCGTAGTGTGCAGGCAGTTTTGTAAGTTGTGTATTTTCTCTCCATGTAACTTTGACTCCACCTCTGAGACACTGAATTTCTGGTTCCTTCTCTCTCTCACCGGCTGTTCCATTCTTTGCAGATATGGATGCAGGTAACTACCGTCTCCTCCATGGCAGCTTGTCTTGTGGGGAGCGCGAGGAGAGCCCGACTGTGCTGTAGCGTTCCCTCCCTCCTCGTCCTGTGTTCCATCCTGTTTCGTTTCATTTCACCTTTTTTTTTTAGTTCGGCATTCCACCCTGTGCTGTCCCCTAGCTGTGTTTTGAGCACTAGTTGTCAGTAGCGTCACGTGTCCCCTGTAACACCTGTGCTGGCCTTAACTCTCCTCCAGGGGCCTGTGCAACCTTCAGGGCCAGACTCCCCTGGGGCTTCGCCTGGGTCTCCGCGGCCTGGGGCAGGACTTGGTGGTGCTGTGACACCTCTTGGTGGTCCTCAGGAAGGCTGCCCTGAAAACCTCCCTGCTAAACGATGACCTGGGAAGGTCAGAGGCTCAGAGAGGGCTTGTGCGCTGGAGCACAGGAGAAAAGACTGTTAGCCCAGGGGAGAGAGCAGGCGCTTGAACACGCCTGGCCCAGACAGTAGGAAGGGGGGTGCTCCCACGGTGTCTTCCCCCAGGGGCACCCAGGGTTTGACTTGTCCCTTTGTGTCTAGGGTGAGCGGTAGCCATAGCCGGGTAGCTTACACAGAGGAGAGCTGTGTAGAGCTTGTGTCTGGGCTTTCCACTTCTCGGGCTTGCGGTCGTAGCGTTCATGGAGCCAGGTGCTGAGGGTCTGCGGCTGGCTTGACCGTGGGGAAGCGGGGTGCACGTTTTCCAGGGAATCTGCCTCCAGCACCCTCGCTCTCCATTCCAGTCTGGGGTGGCTGGAAGTCACGGTCCAGCCCCGGTCTTGTTGATCGCACCCTGGCCTGGCTCAGATGTCCGCAGTTGCAAGCTCTACAGAGGGACAGCCAGGGCCACAGTGCTCTCGGGAGCCCGCCTGCCTGACTTTGGTCACGGTCGTGCTCTGTGCCTTTCCTTGGGGGGTGCTCGCTTTGTCCTGACATACTGCTGCTCAGCTGTGATCTTTTTTTTGCACTGCATAACAGGCCCTTGAATTTTGATAAACAGGAGACTTTTCTTTTGAATGTTTGTGCATCAGAAGTGAAAGCTGTCCCCAGCCTGGTGGCCTTACTGTGATCACTAACAGCCCTACTCGTTGGTTTTCTGGGTAGCACTTGCCGCTGCACTGGAATTCCATAGTGGCGCCTGGGCTTCTAGACACATGTTATTTTAAAGGGTAGGAGCACGTGAGGGGGCATCCCTTTCTTCATCAGGGCCGCGTGCCAAGGGCTCCTGGATCCAGGGAGAGGTCGTCTGTGATCTCTGCTCACGGCTAGGAGCTCACCGGGGCCACCTCTTTGCTTGCCTTTTGACCTGGGTTCTGGGTGTTCTGTGGGAGCAGCGCCATGCCCAGGTGCACCCCCATAGGGAGGCACGGGGCCTCCGGGTGCTGAAAGAACTCTGATGCCAGGCAGCCCCTCAGCCCTGGCGTTTCCCCAGAGCTGGGCACTGCACTGCTGTCTGGAACCAGGCCTCTCCTGTGGACCAGGGCACTGACTTCCACTTCCTGTCTCTGTGGCCTATGAGGAGTGGCAGTGGGGAGAGGAAATGAGTGAGATCAACTGTGATTTCCCTCGTGCCAGTTTTGCCATACCTTCGACATTGGCAGGGAGCCTGAAGTGGTTTCAGTTCTTATCCAGTGAGTAAATGTCAATCGATTGCCTATGCTTGCTTAAATTAAGAAACTGCATAGACAGAATGTTCTGGATTGGGTATACGATTTACTGTGTTGTTACCTTGTCACCGTGGTGTATGGAGGGTCCTAGGGTGATGTGAGTCATCTTGGCATGTGCAGGAACTAAGTAAACTATTACATAACCCCATGGTGGGCATGGTCTGTGCCTGCTGAGGCAGTGGGTTTACAGAAAATTGTGTGACCTTTCCATTTCTTGGTGTTACTGTTGTCTTCTGAGTTTTCCTCTGTGTTGGTCCAGTTTTCGTTGCTGTAACAAAATACTTGTGGCTGGGTACTTTACAAAGAAAAAAAGATTTTTAAATTCATTGTTGGGGAGCTCAAAGTCTTAGATCAGATGGCCCCATTTATTTGGCCTCATGGTTGATGGCGTCATGGAGGGAGCACGTGGGAGAGGGATAACATAGTGAGGCAGGAAGATGGAGAGGCCAGGGGTGAGTGTTGCTCTTTCCTAATGGCCCTCTCTTGAGATCCACATTATCCCTGCCAAGGGCAGCAGGCTGTGCCTCCAGGGACTGGTTACCTGGTGCTGAGCCCAGCTCTCAAAGGTCTCACCACTTCCCAGCAGCACCACACTGGGGAGCCAGCTTCCTACGTGCGAGTCATTTGGGGACACACTCAGACCACGTTCAGGACACCCAGCCACTTAGCTCTTGTGAGTTTGGAGCAGTCAGCTGCATGGCTGCTCTGGCCGGAGGTGCTGCTTGGGGTGTGGGTGAGCTGCCATCCCTGCTGCTCGTGGGGTTGGTTCTCCCGCCCTTCCTGCTGGCCCACGGTGGCTCCTCTGAGGTAAAGAACAGGTTGCTCTCTTTGCGGGGATTCTGACCTGCAACTGGGATGTTAAGATTGCTGGAGGGGTGAGTGGTGGGGACATGGCAGTTGTAGAAGAGAGCTTTCTGGGTAGGAGTGTGTCTGGGCAGAATCATGTCCGGGGCCCAGAGTGCCTTCCATCTGGTCCATCTCAGCTGGATCCCAGAGGGTGACATCATTTGGACGTACAAGATTTAGTAACTTTAGAGATACAGTTCAAACGAGGGAGGGTATTGGATATCACACTTAATAGCAGTTCTACCTGATGACCAGTGCAACAGTGGGTGTCTCATAGGGAGTCTGTGACTGCTAGACAAGAGCTTGGAGCGAGCAGCCTCTGTGGGGGGGCACAGTTCTTGGTGTGTCCGAGTGTGTTTAATTCATAAGTGTGTTTTGGAGTCCTCGGGGCCTCTGTGGCAGGCCACATGCTATGGGGTGAAGAGCAGAGGTGTATCCTCCAACAGTTCTGCAGGCCGGAAATCCAGAATCACTGTTTTGACAGGTTGTTCCCCGAGAATCTGTCCAGGCCCCTCCCAGCTGCCGAAGTCCAGCACCCGGTGCGCTCCGGGGCTGGTAGACCCGCCCAGCCCTGCCTATCACGCAGCGCTGCCCTCCTGGGAGGCAGTGGTCCGCCACACACCCTATTCCAGTGTGATCTCGCACCTTAGGCTACAAAGACTGATTCCGGTGCTCCATCACAGGGTCTGAGAGGGTCTGTCATGCCCACCTGTTGGCTGGCAGGAGCCCGCTCAGAGCTGCTGAGGCCGGGCCCTTCCCTTCCGTTCTTGCTGGCCATAGAAGCTTGAGGGGGACGAGGACAGGAATCAGCTTGCCTGTGACCTTCACACCCCTGAGGGGCATTTCACAGTGCCAGAAAGAGATGCACGGAGCCCAGTGGAAGCCCTCGGAAACGCCAAGGCATCAGGAAAACAGAAGGTCGCGGGGTGTGTGCTGGCAACGTCCTTAGGACTCAGCGCCAATTCTGCTGGCACCCAGGTGCCCAGGTGGGGCTGGGGAAGAAGTGCCTGCGACCCTGGAGCAGGGGATAGTCTCCTACACGCGAGAGGTCTACATGCCCAGTCCCGGACGCTGAGCTCTACCAGACCCGTGTCTGCGTTGTTCCTGCCGAGCCTGGAGGCCCTTCCAACTGGTGGCTGTGCTTTGAAGTCCTGGTTGAAGCCTTGGGTCAGAGACTGGAGTCCAGGTGACAGGACAGGGTGAAGGCATCAGTGGCCTCTAAGGAAGGTCTGTTGGGGGGTGACTTTGCCAGAGATTCGGAATCGCTGCCAGACACCCTTTGGGAGACCTGATCTGGCCTCAGTAAAGCCTACTGCAGTCATAAATAATCAAATTTTTTTTCTGGAATGAAGCAGTGCTCTTTGCTAGTGCCGCCTTTTCATCCAAATCTAGAATGAACCCACCTCTGGATGCGAAGGTGGCTTAAAGGTGGTGGGAGGAGGACAGGGCCCGCCAGCCCCTGTGAGGGGATGGGCCGAGGCCCAGTGGTGACCTCTCCTGCTGTGGTCGTCCACAGGGATTGGCTGAAGGGCTGTAGCCAGGCAGGGCATGGGAGCAGCTGGCCCTCTTCCTGGGTCCTCATGAGTCAATGTATCGGGGACCCCTTTCTTCGGTCAGTTTTAGTTTCTTGTTAGCTGTTAACCAGCTCAAATTCTGGGCTGTTGAAGTCTTGGCACCCCAGACTCTGTGTGGGCCCGCAGCGGCCTGGCCCTTCCCTCCAGGGCAGTGACTCTGTCTCTGTCTCTGCTGTCCTGATTGTCCCAGCAGTGACTGCACAGGACGCCCCCCCCCCCCCCCCGGGCCCTGCATCTGTGCAGCAGCAGCCTGGGTCCCTAGACCCGCTCCTCCCCTTCCCCAGTGGAGAACCGTGGCTCTCCCTGGGAAGCTGGCCCTGCCTGCGTCCAGCATTCTTCCAACAGAATAGGCTGAGGGAGTGGAGAAATCCAGGGACTGGATTCGGGCAGATCCCAGTAGGGGACTCTCCAGAGCAGTGTCCCCCAGGTGGAGAAGGGGCCTGGTGTTTTCCTGTGTAAGGAGAAGAGTCTGAAAAGACGAGGGAGATGGAAAGACCCCGAATGTCCTCCAGGTGGGAGAAGCTTGGGAGAAAACTAAAGATGTGGTCACACCTGGAGGTGAGGGCCAGCTCGGCACAGCTGTCCTGGTGCCCCCGGGGCTTGGTGGCAGGACTCCCTCAGGTAACCAAGTCTGGGCACTCCAGGCCCCAAGGGAGGACGGCCCAGGCTTTGCACGCCATCTACACAGTCTTCACCTGCTGTGAGTCTCTAGGTCACGCGTGAAACCTGAAACGTGCATGTGTGTGAACCGTGTCATTCCGTGTTCTCAGGGAGCAGTGACAGCAAAGGAGTCCGCGTGCTCAGTGCAGACGCGGTTCTTGCTGTTTTGAATATACTTTTTAAAATATTCCCCGTCCTGGCTGGTGGAGCTCATGGAGCTGGGGACAGGGGTGGGCTGC